TTTTTTAATATTATTTTACTAACTTTTTCTGTTTTACATGGAATCAATATAGCTAATGCCACAAAGGGCTGAGAAAGACAGAAAATACAGTTTTTAAGTTAGCGCTTTACATATTATAAATGCAAATTCACCAAACATATTAGATTAACGATTGATTATTTTACAGAAAATCACATATCAGAGAGCACGCTTTAACATTTTGTATCTTAACAATATCCTTAATAGAGTACGGAGGAGGGCCAAGAACGTGGTTCGGGTCCTTAAGTAATTTTACCCTTGAGGCAGTAAATCTAAGCTATGACTCTATTTTAAATAAGAAGCTGTTCTCAGTCTTTTCTCTTTATCATAATCCCCATCCCACCAGGGAACAGGGCTTCTTAATACTATTACTTACATAATTAGTTTATAAACTAGAAAACACTGGAAAATGCTGTATTCCAAACCTTCTTTGGTGCTGGTTTTGAATCACTGATAATAGAACTTGTGCCAAGATCGTTTATCTATGGGATTTCAGCGGCAAAAGGATCCATTGGTCCTTTTTTGTCAATGAGACTACCCTTGTTGTCGTTGGGAAGGGCAGGTAAAGCCTTGTCAGACGAAACTTTGATGCAGTCACAAGCCAGATCCCCGGCCTCCTTGCAGACAAAGCAGGTTGATTCATCGGTGGAGAAATATATTTTATCTTGGATGCCATTGTAAGTAAGATGTACAAAAGCTGGAAGTTTAGGAAGGTCTTTTTCACCAATGTAAATCCGTCTTCTGAAGCTTTGAACATGAGCAAAATCAATATCCGCTATGTTTGCCTTGATTTCTTTTAGCTTTGACCTCGGTATTATATCTTTTTTCTTAAGTTCGTCAAAAATCAGCTGATCAGGTATACTAGGTCTAACATTTGAAACAATAATTTTTTTGTTATTGCAATTCATCGGGCGTATCTGTAACTTGCAGCTGCCAATTTTTATCTCTTTGATTACATTGCAAAACATGTTAGCAATGCTTTCATACTTAAAACAAATACAGAATAGCGTTAGGGAAATATACGGGCGAATATACTTCGACGAGTGTATTGGATAACTGCGAAGGTAGTATCCTTAATTGGGGCTTTAGCAGTTTTGTCGGCGATGTCAAAGCGTGAAAGTGCCTCTGACATTTCGTCGTCGGAAGAGGTATCATTCGGGCTATCTTCTTCCAACTTCCAACAGCATCAGAGAGGACAAGGGGACCCTATTGGCGGCACATGGCGCCGTAGGCAAAGACCAGGGAAGAGACGTAGACTTAGGCATCCTTGGAGGTTATGTAGTCACTTAGAGGCGGCTACCACCGATTTTCGCAAATAAGCGATAAAATTCGCTAAACTCACGGATCTGCGCAAAACCCACACACTAGAAGCACAGAACGATTGCACCCTGGAACTCACACCCAAGAAAAATGCCACTATAGTTGCACACGTCTAACCACCACGGTCCCTCATGCACTCTATCAATGAGAGAGAGAGCGCGCAATTCTAGTCAGATTCAGATTCAGATAGTCAGATCGCCAATCGCCATAAGCCTGGGCTGGGCCCTGGGCGAGTGCGAAAGAGATGCAAGAATATATATGTGTATATATATATACATGTTTATGGCGACCCATCTGATATAGCTAACTTGAACCTGCACGTGCAGGTCTCCCACATATTATGGAGCTATTCACATAGACATTTTTTGCTTATTTCATTGTGAACGTTCATATTGAAAAGGGGGTTCCACTGTTCCGCTAAACTCAAATTGAGTGAACAGACTGAGCAGACCTATGCTGTGTTCTCTGTCAGTCAACATTATAGTTGCGACCAACCATACTAGGCTTAGTCGCTTAGTTGCCTGATCTTGATGGAAAAAGAGGTACAGGTCTGTTCAGTCTGTTCACTCACTTTGAGTGTAGCGGAACAGTGGAACCCCCTTTTCAATATGAACGTTCACAATGAAATAAGCAAAAAATGTCCATGTGAATAGCTCCTATGTATAGGCACACATAATAGGCATCCTCAATTTGTGATCGAAAGAAGCAAATGTACTGTTTATGAAAAAATACTGAAGTACTCTCATTGTGTATGCAAAAAATACATCTTCCTGCTTAGTTTTTTCCTTTCTTTTTTTTTTTTTCTTTTTTTCTGTCACACAAAAGTATTTTCAAAATAAATAATTTTTTTTTTTCATCGACAGTCGACAGTGTACTTACTCCTCGCATTATTGTCCAAGTGAAGCTATATACTGGAAAAGAAAACAAATCTTACTTCAATTGCATATCCCTGTAATATCCCTCCGATGTTTCTTTATTAAGTAAGTACAACTGTCAATCAAAGCTCAAACAAAGTATATCAAAACGCCGTACTTATTCAACACGCAATAATGTGTGCTCCCCCTCTCTCCCCCGCGCTACAAGGATTTTTTTGTAAAAAACGAACTCGCTCGGATAACAATGAAGAAGAAAGAAGAGAAAAAAAAAAAAAAAAAAAGTCTCAACCCTTTTTATTGATACCACCAGCAACAATGCAATGAAAATAGACTTTAACATCACGTTCCAGTGGTGATGTATACACCTATCGTGCGTATACAAATATACACCATATAATCGCTCGGCTGTCAAACTTATCGGAAATATATTGCAGCTGGCAGTTATGTGGGGGGAATAAGAGAACAAAAAAAACGTGACAGAAGACGATCGCATGCTCTGTGCATGTATACACTTCCGCTCGTGCGCTCATAAGAGTCGCAACACTGTCGAGCGCGTCAAACAAAACACTGTTTCGCCTCGGTCTATTTTTTTTTTTTTTTTTTTTTTTTCCCTCTTCCCACGAATCCTTGTGGCCGCGTGTGCTTTTCAAATTGTTCGCGATTCCGATAAAAATAGATATAGGTACATACATATTGTACACCGAAAAAGAAGATGCTGAAGAACCTGGTGAAATTCACAGTGAAAACCGGTCAGTCGAAAGTAAGTAAAAAAAAATCTCATGCATCATAGCCTCGAAAATTGGTGATGGCGTTTGTTTGTTTTTGTTTTTTTCTTCCCCCGTAGTCGTTGAACAAAGAGTGCCGTCGTCACCTCAACATCCACGAGAATTCGGCGTACTCGTTGTTGAAATGCGCCGGCATACCAGTCCCGAAGTACGGGCTCGCCAAGACGCCCGACGAAGCGGCCAAAATAGCTGCCGATCTCGGCTCCAAGGACATCGTCCTGAAAGCCCAGGTTCTCGCCGGCGGACGGGGCAAGGGTAAATTCATCGGCAGCAACGCCAGTGGGGTCATTATGTGCGAATCGTGAGTTTTTTTTTTTTCATTTATTTTTTTCTAAGGTGTAAAACACACTACTCATTAACGATGCACGCAGGCCGGAGGAGGCGAAACAGTTGGTCAGTCAGATGTTGGGCAAGTACCTGGTGACCAGACAAACCGGCGAGGCCGGTAAGATATGCAACTCCGTGATGGTCACCACGAGAATGTTCACGCGGAAGGAGCTCTACCTCTCAGTGATGATGGCGCGCGAATTCGAAGTACGTTTTTCATCATGCACTAATAAGTAGCGATTTTTTCGAGAACAAAGGAAAAAAGAAAAAAACGTAGTTCGACCGCGTCTTTTCCTTGTTTAAGTATTCCAATGCTCGGCGCTAAAACTCGTACACGCGGTCTGCTGGTCAATGTTTTCTGTCGACAAACAGTTTTTATCCACGAGATTATACGCGCGTGTCTGCACTGCACACGAGAGATAAACCGTTTACAATCTTTCCACGTTGAATGGATTTTTCTTTTTTTTTTGTTGCTCTTTTCGTAGATATACATGTATGTATATTTGCAATCGGTATATATCGAAAAAAACACGGTAGTGCAGTAGTCACAACACGCGGGTGTAAGCACGTAACACGTATACCACAGAGGTCGACAGCTTTTTTTTTTTTTTCACTCAAAGATGTAAAACACGGCGTCGGTGTGTGTATGCAACACTTTTGAACTCGGTGGTGAAAATATACCGATTTCGGTAAATACAATATATGTATGCATACAGGGCCCGGTGGTAATATCCTCGAAGGAGGGTGGGGTGAACATCGAGGAGATCGCGGCCACGAACCCGGGGGCGATATCCTACACGCCGATCGACATCGGCAAGGGCTTGAGCGCCGAGCAGGCGGACGCGATCGCCTGCAGCTTCGGCATCCCCGATCCGGCCGCCATCTCGGAGATCGTTTGCAACCTTTACGAGCTGTTTGTGGAAAAGGACGCCACCCTGCTCGAGATCAATCCCCTGGTCCAGGACCTGTGCGGGCAGTGTGAGTTGGTTGGATCTCCTTTTTTTTTCTTTCAAAATTTATACTTATTGGGTCTGGTTGTACGTTGGTAACAGATTACGCGTTGGACTGCAAGTGCAATTTCGACGACAGCGCCGAGTTTCGGCAAAAGGACCTGTTCGCCCTGCGGGACTGGAGCCAGATGGACCCCGTCGAGGTGACGGCTGATAAGTTTGGCTTCAACTACATCGCTCTGGATGGCAACATCGCTTGCATGGTCAACGGTGCCGGTCTGGCCATGGCAACTATGGACATTATCAAACTCTACGGCGGCGAGCCGGCCAACTTCCTCGACGTCGGTGGTGGAGCTGACGTCAACACCATCACCGAGGCTTTCAAGATCGTCATGTCGGATCCTAAGGTATAAGATTGTGTTTTTTATTTTTTCCAAGTAGTAATCGAGGATCATTGTTTTATTTGTAGGTGGAATCGATTTTTGTAAATATATTCGGTGGTATTATACGGTGTGATAAAATAGCGGAGGGTATAATCGCGGCGCTCAAGAATCTCAAGATACCCCTTGTGCCGGTGGTTGTGAGGTTGCAGGTAAGTTGTTATTATTTTTCGGGGAGTATGCGAATCGTCATTGATTTTTTCATGATTTATTTAGGGTACAAACGCGGAAAAGGGGAGAAAATTGATATTGGACGCGAAACTGAAAATCATTCCGATCGACGACATGGCGGAGGCCGCGGAAGCGAGCGTCTCGGTTGCCGATATTTGCCGATTAGCGAAGAACCTCAACCTCGACATTGAATTGACGCCCAAAGCCAAAAAGGACAAATGTAAGTCCAAATAAATTGTTATCGTTGTTGAAGTAGATCAACCGCCTCAAGGAAGAATCCGGGTTTTGTCGATGGTTCAAAGTGTGATAGTATGGATTATGTTTTTTTCGTAAGATTAATTCATATATAGATGAAATGTGTAATATATACAAATGCGTGTACAACGTGGGGTTACTATGATATAGCGTATTGATTGATCGCAAATGTAAAATAAACAATTACAAGTACGTGTTTAGTTGAACGACTGAGATATACCTGTACACTTTACAATGAAAAAAAGGAAATCCTCTCCAGAGCTCACGCAACGCGCAATACAGGACATTATGTTATACGAGCAGCTGTGCACAGTGCACTACGTTCAATGCATAATAGCTATCATGCTAAAAGCGCGTGTGCACACCTATATACAATACTTACACTTCCTCTACAAAATTTTATATACATTTTACGTGCGAAGGAGGATGTAACATATACTCGCATCATGACCCATCTCTTGGAACGTCTGTGGGACCGTCAAGTTACTCGTCAGCCGTTCTCCGGAGAGAGCTTTCAAGCTGAGCTTTTTTTCAATCGGAGAATGCATTATTCGTATTTTTAATTAACATATCGTATTGAGATTTTGCACTCTCAATTTATCAATTCTTTTCCATTCCAATGAACATTCTAACGAAATCGGTTAACTTCATCTTCGATCGAGGGAAACGGGAAAAAAAACTTCTTTTCTTTTCCTTCTAATTCGATTTACTAATTTTATTAATCTGTAAAAGATAAATTAAATTCACAAATAGCACATGTCAACACGTACTTAACAATTTGTACAACGGCTCTCGTAAATCTTTAGATTTCAATATCCTTTCTAAGTAAATAAATCGTCGTTCTTCTAATATTTATATCTTATCTGGAATTGATGCAATTTCGAAAAAGATAAACAAAACGTATCAAGAGTTGCATGCTCAAGTTGCGTTTTGAATCGTTTTTTTATACTGTGATTAAAAAACACTTTGACGTGAATTAGATGTGCAGCAGCGTGGTATAAGAATTCATGTATGTCACCACGCAGCAAATAGGTAAGTAAGTTGTAGCGATAAGAGTGGGAGCTACTTAATAGGAAAGAAATAAAAACAAGTTTGGGGCCAAAGTCAAAGTCGTCAGTTCTCGCGCCACGTTCTCGTGGGATCGTTGGTAGAGCCAAAGAGTAGAAGAGCGGCTATCCACCCACACACGGCTGCGAACGACCGTGCCATTGCCACCAGAGCTGTGCTGTCGCGCCGCCGCTCCGCTTGCAGTTATACAGACAAACATCAGCTAGCCAGCAGCAGCCGCAGCTCTTCCACCACCAAAGATGGCCACCATGCTGTCGCGGACGATCAGCCTCGCGGAGTCTCTCAGCCGCTTCAACGGCGCCAAGGTACGTCCCAATCGAGACCCCGATCTCCTGCGTCCTCCAGGTTCACGTCCTCCGAGTGTGTCCATTTGTCCCTGACGAGCTGAGGGCGGGAACGCGCCAGTCCAAAAAACAGGGTGTTTCTATACGCGTTGTCTGCTAAATTGGGCGCCAGGGTCACGCTTCGACACACGGCACGTATACATGTGTATATACAACGCGACACGTGTGCGTGCGTGAGTGTCTCCAGATATAAGTATATATACTCACGTGTTGTGTCATTTTATTAGGTGGACACTCGTTCGATCGAGTTGATAAGTATATTGAGTGTGCCATACAAAAAATATCCGTGATAAAGTGCACCGAGTTTGAATTTTTTTTATTTTTTTCCAAGTACTCAAAGTTCCATCGTGATGTACAACGCGCTAATTTTTCGGAGTTTACGTAAGAGCCTTATTTTGCCAGTGTGTGACTTTTTATTTTGCGAAACTTATTGAATAAAAAGTCGATCGGAAAGACAAAACCAGATAGACAGATAGTATGTGTGTGCAACAAGATCAGAGCGCGCTCGCGCTTCGCGCTCAGCTGATGCGAGGTCGTTCGAACGTAATTGCCATACCTGACGTGTCGAGGACGTTCGATTTTTTTTTATTGATCTTTAGAGGGTTTCCTTGCGCACTTTTCTTTTTTTTTTACATTCGTCAAATAAAAATGTTTGAAATGGGGAAATTTTAGTTGTCGGCTGGGTGTTTTTGTTTGGAATGAAATGACTGAAAGCCGAGATTTCCGGTTTGAATAAAGCTTTTGACAGCCGTGACTTTGCCGCTGGCCAGACTTTCGTAAACTGTTTATATAAGATTTTCGTGCACTGCATCCAAAACAATATTACTTCAAGGCGAAAGTCTTTTTTTTTTTTTTTTTTTTTTAATGTGATTCGTTTCTAATGTCACCTTTTGAGCTTTGCTTTGATTTTTTTATGAATTAAAATTTAAAAATTGTTGTTATCCGAGGCCACGATTGGATAACAAATTAAGTGCGAAGAGTAAAAAAGAATAGGGAACGTACAATGTTTCCAATGAATTGTTACATCATTACGAGGAATTCATGTACGAATAGCTTATCAATAAATTATTAAAATCATCGGGAAAATTACCAAAAATAAATCTATTCGCAATGCCTTTATCGTTGCAAATTCATTGATTTTACTTCCGGCATTATTATATATAGTCCGCGATGATAAACAAAGAAGAAAAAAAGTGTAGCGTTTAACCCTCGGCGACATCGACTTTTTGTTGCGTCGCCTCTCATTGACAAGTGTAGGTCAGTGTCACTTGGTTCGATGCCATTATACTGGGCTTACTCTATTTTTACAATTAGGCATAACGCAAGTAAGTATATATGCATAGAAAAAACGTGTAAAACGTAGCTCTTGAGAAGAGAGACAACGACAAATCAGCATTACGAACGACTGATGATAAACTTGATAACAACAAAATGACGAGTATACTTTGTTGCAGATATTGGCATGCGCCACAAACGGCAGCTTAAACAAGCAGCCCAGCCGGAATCTCAATGTCCACGAGCACATAAGCTACAGCGTTCTCAATGAAGCCGGCATACCTACGCCCAAGTTTGGCGTCGCCAAGACACCAGACGAGGCAGCTAAGCTTGCAAAAGACCTCAACACCAAGGATATCGTGCTCAAGGCCCAAGTGTTGGCCGGTGGCCGTGGCAAGGGCCACTTCAAGGGCGGAAATGTCAGTGGCGTCAAGATGTGCGAGACGTACGTATTTTTTTATTTATCTTTTTTTGGTATATTACGATAGGAATAATCAGTAATGCACTTTTATGGTTTTGTTAATATCTTTGTTGGCTTGTTTCTGTCTGCTGTTCTGTATGATAACCCAGTTTGATGAGATAAATTTGATGATTATGCTAATATCTCTAATCGTGACATGAAAAAGTATTGTAGATGTAAGAGCAACCAACTCTACCCTTGTTTCGAAAAAGAAAGTAATTTTTTTTTTTCTGTCGACTCATTGCAGGCCGGAGGAGGCGAAACATTTGGCCAGTCAGATGTTGGGCAAGCTCTTGGTGACAAAACAAACCGGCGAAGCTGGAAGAATATGCAACGCAGTCATGGTCACCCAGAGGATGTTTCCGCGCAAGGAGTACTACTTGGCAGTTATGATGGAGCGAGCTTTTGGAGGTCCAGTCATCATCGCCTCGAGTCAGGGTGGCGTTAACATCGAGGAGGTCGCCGCCACCAATCCTCAGGCCATTATGTACGAACCCATCGATATCAACAAGGGCATTACCAAAGATCAGGCCGACAGAATCGCCGTCAAACTTGGACTCGAAAACGTCAAAGATTACATTTCTCAGATGATACTCAATATGTACAGTCTGTTCGTAAAGAAGGACGCGCTTCTGATCGAGGTGAATCCTCTTGCCGAAGACATCAACGGAAAATGTATGTTTTACCCATTTTATTAAATTTCAAAGTTGTACGTACCCCGCGATGAGTGATTAAAATTTTTCTCTTTTTCGTGCAGATTTTGCGCTGGATTGCAAATGCAGGTTCGACGACAACGCCGAGTTTAGGCAAAAGGATCTGTTCGCGCTGCGCGACTGGACGCAAGAAGATCCGAAAGAAGTAGAGGCTGCAAAATTCGAGCTCAATTACATCGCTCTGGATGGCAACATTGGCTGCATGGTGAATGGCGCCGGCCTGGCCATGGCAACTATGGACATCATCAAGCTGCACGGTGGTGAACCGGCCAACTTCCTGGACGTCGGAGGTGGTGCGACTGCGTCAGCCGTCAAGGAAGCCTTTAAAATCATCACCTCGGACAAGAAGGTAAGGTTTACGACTAAAATTTAGTAACACTTTTATTGGATGTATTTTTGTCCTATGATCGAGTTTTGTCGATTTATTTTTAGAACAAAGCTATAAGTAATGTCTTGATTATTGCAGGTTCACGCGCTACTAGTTAACATTTTTGGAGGTATTATGAGGTGCGACGTCATTGCCGAAGGTATTATAGCTGCAACTAAAGAGCTTGACCTCAAAATACCAGTTGTTGTTAGATTACAGGTAAATGATGAACAATTATTGTCTACAATATGTATTTCGTGAGTTTTTTAAAATCATATGTCATTGTTTTCAGGGAACCAACGTTGATGAGGCTAAAGCTTTGATCGCAAATGCAGGCTTAAAAATCGTGCCCGTCGACGATCTCGATGAGGCTGCCCGAGTCGCTGTCAAGCTGTCCACTATCGTCAAACTCGCTCAGTCCGCGAATCTGAGCGTAAACTTCGAAATACCTCAAATCTCCTAAAATGTGTTTCGTAAAAAAAAAAGAAAAAAAAAAAATAAGAAAAAATTAAAATTTTAAACGATTGAGAAGAAAGCTAAGTTAATCGGTAATAACTAAAAGTAAATAAGTAAAGCAATGTGTGATAATCGCACCTATTGTTTCAAAGGGAGTGCAATCAGTCACGTGTACACATCCCAAGAGACAACACGATTGCATACAACACACAATGCTAACGAAGTTTGTTGAGAAACCGTGCGCAACCTTTCATCAATGTGCTAGAGATATGCGAATAAACGAGTTTTTGCTGCCACTCGCGCCAACTGTCAAGATGAATCGTGCACGTGTAGTATAATAGTGACATTCACTTTGACGCTATTGCGGGTGGCTATCGATTCACTTTAGATTGGTTGTGCTGCACATGGCAGTAAAAATTAGATACTTTGATAAGTTACGTACGGTTCATCGGTTATATTTTCCTGCTCTTGGGGTTGTATTTGTTCCAAACTCAAGTTCGTCTGTTTAAATGCGTTTTTATTAAAAGTCTTTTGGTTGCTCCGAGCGCCAGAAGGACACGGGGCTGCCAAGTAACGTTGAATATGATAAATATTTATCAATCTTGAATGAACGTAATAGGAAAAAAAGCATCGCTGTAATTCGTGTATGGAAACATGTAATTATACGCGCTGTAACTCATACGAACACTTGAATTTTTCTCTCTATCTTTGATGCAAGCATGAAAAAAGAAACGATAAATCATTGTTTTTCGTAACTTAATTTTTAGTAATTTATTTTATTCGAGTGGCTTTTACATCTAAACTTTACACCTCTCTCGAGAGAAACGTATGTGCTTCAGTATTAAGGGAACATTTCAGTGTTTGAAAGTAAAAAAAAATAAAATTATTCTGGGTGAAAAAAATAAATCTCTATGTTAACAAATACGTTTACATATTTTTACACCTCCAGAATTTCGGGATAAACGGAGCAAATGAACGAATCATTGTAAAACCTAATCTTAATATTATTGTGTTTGAGTCAGCCTGTTTAATGTAATATATATACATAGTTATATATACATAAATTATTTTACATAATTTCATTTTTGTCTTTCTTTTGCTGTGCACTAAAATAACTTTAAAATTTCACTACGCAATGCATCATATATATATTTATATTAAATTTTTAGCTTGTATATTTATTTGCAATCATATAGAATTACCAATAATAGTATTTATTTTGAAAAAACACGACTACGAATTAAATCGAAATATTTTTATTTCCATTTAAGCTTCTAAAGCAATTCACTGCAGAATAAAATAAAATGAAAATCACGCTTTTTTTGTTTGAATCATTTAAATATTTATTTTATCGCAGGTTTTGGTTGATTTCAAATTTTATCAAATAAAAAAAATCTATTTAAATTCCTGTGAGCAATTCACTCAATAAAAAAAAATTGAAAAATTGTTCACAAATTCCCGGGCAAATGGTGAGTATGTTGCAAAGAGCTGAAATATCATAAAACGCAACCAAACTAAAGTATCAAAAAAAAAAGAGAAAAGTTGGAGAAAAGGAAAGGAAAAAGGAAAACAGAGAGAGAGAGAGAGAGAGCTGTCAGTGCTGTCATTCGCTCATTCGTTGACTCGTCGCCATCGGTTCATTTTGGTCGGATCCAAAAAACCATAAAGAAAGGCATTGTCGGCAAGATTGGAATGAGCACACAATTGTCGTAGTACCCGTGGCGAGTGTGTAGAAAGTCAGAATTGTTTTCGTCAGTCGTTTCATTACGAGACCGCGTTCTGTGTCACTTTTCGCGGAAAGGAGCACAAGAGAGAAGAGAATAAAAACACCGCACACCCCATCCCCATGGAATTTGACTGACTGCTGTGTATGTATGTACATGTGTACCTTCATGTAGTACAGTAGTTTTGGTGAATTAGTATCGTATCGTATACTTCGTAGTTCGTACTGCGTGTTTTTTTTTTTATAATAGGTGTACTCGCGAATCACAAGCTCGAGAGAAAGAGAGTGAAATCACAGCCGCTCTCTCGGTGCGTGTTTTGGCGGAAGAGAAAAATTTTCATACTTTGGACTGCATCTCTTGAAAGGATTATAAAAATGGCTGCTGTATCTTATCACATTGCTAATCTTCTGGAGAAGGTGAGTACTCGTCGGCGAGGGAGGGAATGTTTTGTCGCATCATACTTTGGCACTGAATCGGAAGTATAGGAAGCGGCATCGAAGCAATGAGGGAGCTAGCCTGGACACAATGCGCACTACGTTGGAAAACATAACCTCGCTGCTCTCTCAAATTCATTACGATGAGATATTTGCTTGAAAATTGGATTGCCAGGGTTTTCCAGATTTTACCGGGGTCTATTGTCTTTCTGTTTTTTGATTCTTTGAGAAATTGGGATTTTTGAAGCTGCGATGGCTTTGGTTGAGTTAGGCTCCTACGTGGACAACTAAGACACGAATCTTGGCATGTGAGGAAAATGAAAAAAATATATGCTCCTTGCAAACCAAAATACGATGTCACTTAATTTAGACATTTTAGTTTTGATGTTTTTTCAAGCAACAATGCAGCGTTATGGTCTTCAACATTCTTTTTTTAGATTACTTAAAATAACATTCGTTGATGACTGAATTGCCAGAGTCTAACGCCCCTATGATGAAAATATGTGCTGCCAATGTCTTTTTGTTTCTCAACTGTGTATATTTATTTAAGTTTATTTATAGCCGATTGTCTTGTGTGCTTTTTATTTTTACGATTGTTTTAGTATTTTGGAAAATGATATTAAACGCTTCAAGTAAACGTTGTTTAAACTAAATGTTTTTTTTTTTTTTTTTTTTCTTCTGAATAGATGACCTCCAATGACAAGGATTTTAGATTCATGGCAACAAACGATCTAATGGCAGAGTTGCAGAAGCATAACATAATATTGGATGATGACTCGGAACGGAAAGTTGTAAAGATGCTTTTAAAATTACTGGAAGACAAAAATGGAGAAGTACAAAATCTTGCTGTTAAATGGTATAAACAAAACTATTTGAAAGTACAAAAATCTCTTGCTCAGAACAAACAATTCGTTACAATATTTAATCGATTTTAGCTTGGGTCCATTGGTCAACAAAGTTAAAGAATTCCAGGTAGAAACAATCGTTGACTCTCTTTGTAGCAACATGGTATCCGACAAAGAACAACTCAGAGATATTTCCAGCATTGGTCTCAAAACTGTGATTGCGGAATTACCTACAAGTAACAACTTGGCTGCTAATGTTTGCAGGAGAATCACTGGCAGACTGACTACAGCTATTGAGAAAGTGAGCAAACAAATTTTAAATTGATCATTGGTATTCGTAATCACAACTCGATAATTTTTATATCTCGCAGCAAGAGGATGTACCTGTTCAGTTGGAAGCTCTGGACATAATTGCAGATTTGCTCTTGCGTTTTGGTTCTCTCCTGGTTATGTTTCACTCTATGATTTTGAATGCACTGCTTCCACAGCTTTCATCTCCCAGACAAGCTGTCCGCAAGAGAACAATCGTGGCTCTCAGTTATCTTATGACTACGGCAAATAGCACCTTGTACAACAAGCTTTTGGACCATTTATTAGAAGGCTTGTCCAACAACAAAGTCAACAATATTATTCGCACCTACATACAGTGCATTGCGTCTATCTGCCGACACGCTGGTCACAGATTTGGCGAGCAAATTGAAAAAGTCATGCCTCTTATCATTCAGTACAGTAACGAGGATGACGACGAACTTAGAGAGTTTTGTTTGCAAGCTTTTGAAGCCTTTGTTCAGCGTTGTCCAAAAGAAATTACTCCCTACATTCAGCAAGTATGCTTATAAATGAATGTCAACTTATCAATCTTACTTTTTAGTTTAACTACTCAGTAATATTATACACGTATATTATTCCTTTAGATCATAGAAATATGCTTAAAGTATCTCACATACGATCCAAATTATAACTATGATGATGAGGCTGACATGTCTGATGGTGAAAACGCAGTCATGGAAATGGAAGAGGATGGTGAGGATGAGGCTGATGATGAGTATTCAGATGACGACGACATGAGCTGGAAGGTGCGTCGGGCGGCCACAAAGTGCCTTGAGGCTGTCATTTCTAGTAGGAGAGAGTTACTCTCTGACCTTTACAGGATTGTTTCGCCAGCTCTTATTGCAAGATTCAAAGGTAACATACCCTTGAAATTTTTAAATCATAAAACACTTTCTATAGTGCAACCAACTGATTCTTTTTAATTATTTCAGAGCGAGAAGAAAATGTCAAGTCTGACATTTTCCATGCATATTCAACGCTGTTGCGTCAAACAAGACCGACTGTAGGCATAGTCCTTGATCCAGACTCGATGGAAGACGAAGAGGGCCCCATTTCCCTTCTTCAGCAGCAGGTTCCACTGATTGTCAAAGCAGTATATAGACAAATGAAAGAAAAGAGTATCAAAACCCGCCAGGATTGCTTGTTTCTACTTAAAGAGCTTGTGACTGTACTCCCTGGTGCTCTCACCCACCATATACCCGCTCTCATACCAGGCATTCAGTATTCTTTGGGTGAAAAGAATTCCTCCAGCAATATGAAAATTGACACACTAGCGTTTGTGCACACTCTTTTGTCTTCTCATCAGCCTGAGGTATTTCACAAACATTTGTCCGTTCTCGCGCCACCAATCATCGCGGCAGTCAGTGATCCGTTCTATAAGATCACGGCAGAGGCTCTTCTCGTCCTGCAACAGCTTGTTCAGGTCATCAGACCACATGGTAAAAAAAAATTTTAAAATATTTTTGTTATTCTTTATGATTTTTAAAATCTTAATGAAACTCTTTATTTTATTTTTCTAGACAAACCTTCAAACTTTGATTTCACTCCTCTGTCTAGTGAATTGTACTGGTCGACACTGTCACGATTGCGTACGGCTGATATTGATCAGGAAGTGAAAGAACGAGCCATTGCGTGCATGGGTCAGATCATTGCTCATCTTGGAGACGTTTTGCAAAATGAATTGGCTACGTGTCTTCCAATCTTCCTTGAAAGACTTCGCAATGAAATCACACGTCTCACAACTGTCAAGGTTTGTATTATTTACGTTATGCTCATTATTAATACTAAATTGAGCCAAAAGTATTTAAATCGCAATTTTATTTTACAGGCATTGACTTGTATAGCTTCCTCACCGCTTCACATCAATTTGGCGCCAATCCTATCAGACACCGTACCAATTTTAGGTTCCTTTTTGCGCAAAAATCAGCGCGCTCTGAAACTGAGCTCGCTAGTGTTGTTGGACAAGTTGTTGAAAAAATATTGCAATGACATACATCCCGATCTCCTTGAAAAAATTACCTGTGAACTGAATGTACTTGTCTGCGAATCTGACCTTCATATTGCGCAGCTTACTCTTACTCTACTCACGACCATCGCAAAACTTTATTCATCTGCTCTCCAGCAAATCTTGTCTCTGTACATCCTGAGCCAAGTCCTGATACTCGTCAGATCGCCTTTGCTTCAAGGTAAGGAATTTTACTTTAAATACTCTATCATTGTTTTTACGATTTTTCCCTTGAATATTGTCTAAATTTATCCCTAATTATTCAGAAAACAATAGACTGTGATTAACAAGAAAATACATTTTAATTAGGCGCTGCACTGACTTCGATGCTAGAATTCTTCCAGGCGCTAGTTCAGGCAAATGTGCCCAATTTGGGTTTTAGAGAATTATTGAGAATGCTTATCGAGCCGGTTAGTACTGAGACCTTACACAAACAGGCCTATCTGTCTTTGGCCAAGTGCACCGCAGCTCTCACAATAGCCAAGCCAGAAGAAGCTATGGTAGTTGTTCAGGAGTTTCTAAAAGATGTCAATGTTAAAACTCCCGATGCTCGTCATATTTTCGCCCTGCTTGTCATTGGTGAAATTGGTCGCCACACGTAAGTTGACTTGTATGTTTATCAACCATCGGATAAATTATATCGATTATTTTTATTTTTAGAGATCTAAGCAGTGTCCAGTCACTGAAACAGATTATTCTGGAGTCCTTCGCGTCTTCGTCGGAAGAGGTCAAACAAGCAGCCAGCTATACGTTGGGTAACGTAGCCGTTGGAAATCTGCCCGAGTATCTTCCCTTCATACTCACGGAAATCGAGCAACAGCCTAAACGCCAGTATCTACTGCTTCATTCTTTAAAAGAGGTACATCTAATTTTTATTTAATATGTAAATGCACGAAGCTGATATTTTTTCAATAATTAATTTAACAATGTACATTTTTTGTTAGATCATTGCTTGTCAGTCTGCTAGCAAGTCAGGTGTAACGAATCTACAAAATTTCGTGCCTTCCATTTGGATTCTATTGCATCGGCACTGTGAGTGTACCGAAGAAGGCACACGTAACGTCGTTGCTGAGTGTCTTGGTAAGCTCACTTTGATTGATCCTGGCAATTTGTTGCCGCGTCTTCAAGATCTCCTCAAATCCGAATCGCCTCTAACAAGAACAACGACGGTCACCGCGATTAAATTCACTATTTCGGACCAGGTAAGCTTGGATGAATTTTTAGCTAATTAACTAGTCTAACTTTTATCGTCATTTTAATTTATTTCTGCTTTTTCTGTTTACAGCCTCAACCTATCGATCCAATGTTGAAACAATGTATGGGTCACTTTTTAGCTACTTTAGAGGATCAAGACTTGAACGTCAGAAGGGTAGCACTGGTAGCATTTAACTCGGCTGCTCATAATAAGCCAATGCTGGTGCGAGATCTTCTCGACTCAACTCTGCCACATTTGTACGCAGAGACTAAAGTTAAAAAAGAACTGATTAGAGAAGTAGAAATGGGTCCGTTTAAGCACACAGTCGATGACGGTCTGGATTTGCGAAAGGCTGCGTTTGAGTGCATGTACACACTTATTGACGCTTGTCTGGATCGACTGGACATTTTTGAATTCTTGAATCACATCGAAAGTGGTCTCAGGGATCATTACGACATTAAAATGTTGACTTATCTCATGGTCGCGCGATTGGCTCAGCTATGTCCCAACGCCGTTTTGCAGAGTAAGTGATATTTATCTATTTCATTTATCTATCAAAACGAGTAATCCGCCTAGTTCGTGTAATAATTAATTTTTGTTAACTCCAAGGGCTTGACAGACTGGTTGAACCACTGAAGAATACTTGCACAATGAAAGTCAAGCAGAACTCTGTAAAGCAGGAGTACGAGAAACAAGACGAGCTCAAGCGATCAGCGTTGCGCGCAGTGGCTGCTCTTCTCTTAATCCCGGACGCCGGTAAGTCGTAAAAAACGAGTTACTCTAATAATCTTGCCTTCAGGCAAAACGGGGATAAGTCGTTAAAACTTGACTTATCAAGTCACTTATGACTTGAGAAATGTGCCATTAAAACATTTTATCTGCGACAATTAACACTAAGGAATGCATGATTATTTTAATAATTTATTAATTTTTATAATACTCGGGAAATACTTGACTCTTAACATGCTTACGTTTATCTGTTAGACAAAAATCCAGCCCTGAGCGAGTTCGTGGCGCATATCAGGGCTACCCAAGAGCTCCAGCCACTCTTTGAACTTATCCAAAAAGACTGCGTGGGCACAAACCACAACGATACTAATTTAATGGATCAAAGCTAAGGACTGCGTCAGCAATTGTTTTGTGGTATCTTTTGGCACGTAACGAGGACAGCTAATGGTGAGATGTTGGCTCGGATTTTGTATACATGACGTCGTTTTTTTAGCATTACCGAGCTCTTGATATATATATTTAAAAAAAAAAAAAAAAAAAAAAAGTTCTTAAATAAACTCGTGTGTTAGGTGTGTTACACAACAACACCAGCCACGTCATTAAACGCAAATTCTTTGGCGTAAAATCATTAACTACCCTCGTCCACGATTGTCTAAAGATTTAAGGTTTCAAGTACGCAAAATGATCATTGATGAAAGTGATTGATAAACAAAAATCAACCATCGAAAGTTTATTTCCGTACGTTATTTTTTCATTTTAATATCATCATCACACCTTGATCAGCAAACTAAAAGAGTTGGCAGTAAAGTGAGAAATGAATAGTATAAAGAAAAGACAAGAAACAAAAAAAGTTAGCTTCAGTTAATGTGATTTATATTTAGCTTTAAAGCCTGTATAAACGTAAAGGATAAAAAGAATAAATTTACCGGACGTTTCAATACAACATGCGTTTTATTGTGAAGTGTAAATCGGCGTGAAATGACAAGATTGGTTGTACAGCCGTAACATCGTCAATCATCATTTTCCATTCCAGCTTCTCTTACGTATTTGTAAATTGACACCGAAATTATTGCTTGGAACTTGACTCGAAAATCTACCAAGTTCTCACGGCAAATCTATTCAACAATTTCTTTTCACCGTTTAGAAACAAACCCGTTCGCGACTCCAGTCATCTACAATAACATGCCATCGCTTATTCCGCGAATAAAGAAGGGAAAGAAGCGCACGGTCGCGCTCTCAAACAGGCGTGAAACGAAAAGCGACTACGTGCCGTTTTGCATAATCTGCATGGACGTCGCCGGAGAAGAGCCATAATGCAACCGCTGGCGCGCGAGCGCTTTTATCACCATTTTTTTTTTCCTCTTTTTTATCTTGCACGAGGACGCGGGTTTGCCTAAGAAAAGACAGATTCGAGAACGAACGATCTCGCGGAATGCAAGCAGACCAGACGGCGACGATCTTCCCGGAGTCTCGGTAAGACGTGATTGCTTTCAAGGGTTACGAGATGTGGTGGTTGCCATGATGGTAATAGAGTAGAATAGGGCTGCTTTTTGTATAATTTGTTTCTTTTTCATTTGCGTATTAAACAGCGCGTCCACAACTTGAGATTTCAATGTGTCACAGATACAATGACCATAATGGTATCTCACAGGCAAACTTGATCAAGAATGCTTTTTTAATTTTTTGCCAAAAAATTTAATGCATTATTTGTGCTAAGAAAAAATTTTCATAACGTGGTACTTGGAAAATTTTTTTCCAGCAATAACGATCGCTTAAATCCGAAATTTATTTATTTTTTTTACTATTTGGAAAGCCGTAAAATGATTGTGCCCAAGCCTGCTCACAGAAAAAGGGGAAATTTCTGTAAAGTTTCCTCTGGCTGCGAGCTTTTAAAAAAATTTCTTAGAATTTCCGTTTTACCATTACCACGTAGATATTATGTACCTGTAATCCCCGAAAAATGTGTCGAACAACGCCGGCTACGAAGTACTTACCGATCCTCTTCGTTAAACCATCGGCACTCCATAAATAAGCGTATCCCCGTGACAATATTCAAAAAAAAAAAAAAAAAAAAAAAAAAAAAAAAAAAAAAAAAAAAAAAAAAAAAA